GTGAAGTGCTGCAGCTTCGGCTGACGGAAATAGACATAACGTTACGATTAAAAGAATGATATAATAATAAATAACAAATCAAAACCTAATAGACATACGTTCAGTAGTAAATTCGATATTCTTTGAATTAAAGTTGGTCAATAATCCTGCGTTATATGCACATTGCCTCATGATTCTTGTTGTATTCGGAGGCTAAGACAACGAAAACAAGAACATAAATATTTAATAATTGTAAAAAAAAATTGATAATTTGTCACGTACCCACTCGGCTGGAATTGTAAATACAAAATTAACTTGATGAGGGAATCTTAAAGTAGGCCGTCGTATCTCAAGAGTTTTTTTGATTAGTTTCCTCATTTGAGTTAAATAATCTTCAATGGCTTTAATATGACTCAATTGAGGGGGTAACCAAGGTTTTTCATGCTCTTGTAAATCCGATAAATGTAACTTAAATAATTCCACAGGACGTGGACGTTGTTCTTCTGGATCATCAAATTCTTCATCAGGTTCCTCTTCCAATGCCGAATCTCCCCAATTTGTCACATTATTATATCCCTCATCGTATTGCAATGCTGTAGGTGTTTTAAAAATACCTTCTCGTTCTGGCCTAATAATTGGAATAAAGTGTCTATATTTTTTCTTTTTTTAAAATATGATTGACAATAATAAAATATTTACCAAGAACTGTTTACAACAACGCTTTCAGGGGTTTCTTTATGGACATACGCAAAACCAGAATAGGTGGTTCCAAAGTCTATTGCAACCAGAATTCTAATATCTTGTAAAGCCATAATTTCTTAACATATGAAAGATAAAACAAATAAATTTTGTACTTTAGAATTTATAAATTCGAAGTTAAAAATAAATTATAATCTTACCTTCTAAAGACTTATACTATTCATTAATGGTGATCATTACTTAAAGAACGCCATATAACCGTTTCAAAGAATATTATCTTCATTCAATATGAGATGAAAAACAAGGGACCATGTTTCTTAAATAGGAGTCGAACGCTCGACTATCTGCATGTTTAATCATAAAAATAATACATGATCAAAATAAAATCAAGTCTTCACATGATATCACAATTGAATTTCTTTCAAATTGTATTTATTTTTTAAAAAAAAAAAAAAAAAAAATACTCGAACATTTTTTCATTATTATTTAAAAACATGGAGAAAAGTACATCCGCTACCAATACTATCATTCTAAAGCAAAGAAAACCAAAAGAAGAACAACGTTTATGAACAATAATGACTCTCAAATATATGCGTTAGAGACTATCCATTCTATTGATTGGAAATTATTTAGGTGGTTGGCTTCCTTGCAAAAAGTTGAAAATTTTATTTATTTATTTATCGTAATTTGGAATTCTACTTCATTACGAGATAATCCACAAATTTTACAAGAATTCATAAATGATACCAATAATTTGATTGAGTCCGTAAAAGAATTGGCTACTTTCAAAGCACTCCATACTGCGCAAAGTAATGAATATATTAGTAATTTAATAGAATATAAAAATTCTCGCTGTGCCCGAAAATCGTGCATTGAGTAAAAAGTTAGCCAATAATGCTTGGGCAGAATTAGAAGATAATAAATTAAATAATTCATATGCTTTTGAGGAACAACTACTACGTTTAACGTATGATCAAAAAATGTATTTACAACAAACGATCTATCATAGAATGAGTTCTTTTCGATTAACTGCGACTAAATTAACAATATGCATGGAAAAAAATAGGAAATTTACAAGAACAGATAAAGGCCTTGAAGGAAGAAAATTCACAACAACAAGCGGCTCTTGGAAAAATAATAAATGTATCTTGGGATGATGATGATTGCAAAAGTTCAGCGAAATTAATTTCTGATATTGAAAATTACAGGATATGTTAACAGATTTTACAATGGTTCAGGGAAGTGATTTTAAAGTTAATAAAGATTCTGCAACAAACCTTTTAAAAAATTATAACTGTCATACGAAATATCCAAGTACGGATGCAGAGCTTGTTTTAGGAGCGTTACTTCAACGTTGCACGATCGCAACTGTCTTGGATGAGGCACAAAAGCACATACTAAATGCACGTTCAGAAAACTTTGATCCACTTGAAAGTGATATTGTCAATACTACCGAAAGTTTAATTAGTTATACCGAATTATTTAGAGAGAAACGTAAAGGAAATGATGACATCACTAAAATTACACCAATCAAAATTCGTCAACACGTTTATTCTGCATTTGGTTGTCGCGGCTTTTCCGATGATGAAAATTCTTTAATTAAGAGAACGGCAAATAAATTGTTGGATGAAATGAATCAATTTAGACAAGTAACGGATAAAGAAACTAGCGATGAATTAATTGATCTAGCTCTTAATATAACTCGTGAAATTATTAATATTTTTTTGTTTTCGTTTAAAAACACAAGCTTCTGAATTGCAGCATAAATTTTTCCAAGCTGGTCAAGCCATAGACCCCCACTATATGCAAGGAATCTTTGGACGTGAAGAAGCTAAAAAATTGGAGGTGGAGATTTGTGGATTTCCTTGCATTGGTGTGTTTGATAATGATCAGAAAGTATTTACGAAGGCTCAAGTCATTGCAAGACAAAAAAGAAGCAATAGTCGTGATTCTATTGTCAATACCATGAAAAGCATGGTTATTGAAAATAAATGAATTTGAATGTGTTCTTTTTTTTTGTATTTTTATTTTTATTTTTATTTGTTGTGAATTATATATATATATTATATTTTTTAAAAAATTTTATTTATTTACTACTTGTAAATTTCATAAATATCATGATAAATAAATTATCAACAATTGGAAATCTTAAAAATATCAAGCTTTTCTCATTAAACTTCGGCTTCCGATACACAATTATATTATATAAAAAATTTTTTTTTTGTAGCTTTTTTTATCTCGTGATTACCGTATACCTCCGAAAAGAAGCTTTTTCGATCTACGCGAAAAAACGAATATAGTAGAAGGAAGATAAGAGTCGTCATATGCGTAAAATAATGGAAATATTAAATCAAAATTAGTTACTGGCAAGTTCGAACTCGAACATAAATATTAATGAGCGAACAAGAATTGCATTTTTTTCTGAAGTTAAAAAAAGTATACATATAATTGGATTATTGAACAAAGGGGTTTGTTGGAACTTTATAGGGATTTGGTAGAGGATATTTTAGATATAGGGTGCGGAGCCGCTATGTTAATATACAAGCTGAGTTGTATTCAATTTGTATAATAAATATAATACTTACTGATTTTATATATAGACAAAACAAAATGATATGTCATTCAGCGATTTTAGTATATAATTCTTTCAAAGGTCACTTAAAGAATCTGTTAAACGACAATTTCAAGATTGTGTGTTTGCTTTTGCAGTAATCTAACCAGCAAGTATCAGCTAATAATTATGTCAGTAAACATTTAATGATAACCTTTAAAAAAGATTCGCAATCTCTGAAGTGATGCCGGAGATATTTCTGCAGGGAATCTTTGCTGATAATTTATTTCGTGAATTGTGGTTTTTATTTTCGATTTTTCTTCGAAAAGCACCCTATTTTCCCTTAAATTCCTCTTTTGTTTAAATCGCTTCCAAAATTTAATTTCTTTCTTTTTTGTTTTGCTTTTACCTTTTTTAATATATATGAATTGGTTGGTTTCGCCTACGATACCTTCGTTAATGTAGCGATCAATATATTTTATTTTTTTTTATTAAAATATGTCTTGTGATATCTTTAGTCCTTGTCGGATTAATTCTTTTCCATAATGATAAATTATAGGTAAGAATGTTATTACTAAGACTTAAATATCGGAGATATTTTTTTTCTCTTTTTTTTTGTAGTCCCGGGGTTTGATCGCTTCGGAGGGGCTGTAACGACCTAATGCTTTGACAACCGTTGCGCATTTTTTTAAGAAATTGCATTAATTAATATCACTACTAGAAAAAATCGATTATTACTGCATCATAGTAAATATGATTCTCGTGCTCACCCATATGATGTAGACGATCTTGTTTTTAATATTTTTAGTGATATCACGGAGTTTATCTACACCAATAAATAAATTACTAATAATACTTGTTCTAATATTTATATTTATTTATATTATTTTATTAGTTTATAATTAAATATCCCGAAAAAACATTTTCTAACGAGTATCTAGATAAGTTATACTCTTTCACTTTTCGCGATATCAATTCAACTATGCGGATACAGAATTAATTAAATTTTATCAGCTGTAATTTTTGAAATTAGTTTATTTAATTCTTGCGGTTAATTTGATTACCATTTAGTAGTTGACAATAGGAACCTTTTCATTGTTGCAATATTTAATGGTTGTACTTTCATCTATATTTTTCAAAAAAAAATTAAGGATAATAAATAAAAAAAATATCAAAGATGCATTAACATTAAAAAGTAGCTTTATCTTGAAATAAAGTTATTTAGAATATTAATTGTTGCTTTTTTATTAAATTAAGCAAGTCGTCTTCTATGAATATATTAATAAGTTCGATAATAGGTTTTTCAAATATATGTATAACTCGCCAAACATTAAAATAGTTAAATTACATATTAAGCTTATCACAAAAAAGTAAAATTTATCTTTGTTTCGCGGTCTCAAAAGTGGTTCTTCCATTTTTTTTAAAAAATTTGTTATATATGACGAATAAAGAACTTCTCTTCATAATTTTAAGTCAACATCATAAAATCACACGATAATTTATCAACGCAATCACAATAAATTATAATTATTAAGATCGATTAAATTTTTTTAATCGATTTCTTGAATGATGAATGATTACGGAATTATTTGATACATCACTATTCATTTGATCAAATCGAATAATTTGAGGTACTCCAAATAAATTATTTGTATTAGAAGAAGCATCGACTTATCCAAACGACGTTGTTGAAGATTTGATTCATAACTATTCGCTTGATTATTCTCTTTTATAATAATTGCATTTAATTTATCAACGACTTGATTCATTGATGGACGATTATCCGGCTCATTATCCCAGCACTCTAAAATTAGATTTAATTATTATCATATTCTTATAAATAATTTCATAAATATATATTTATTATATTTACCAGTGTAAATGTTCACGGGTGTACCGTACTGGTCTGGCGAATCGTACCGTACCGGTTTTCTATCTACCCTATTTTATATACAAACGAATTTTGATATAATGAGCAGATTTTACTATATTAAAAAAAAATCATTATATCACATTTTATTAATTAAATGCCATATCCGCGGAAATAATTTTTTTATTTTTATTTTTATTTTCATTTTTTTGAAAGAAAAAAAATTCTAAAATAAAAAATAAAAATAAAAAAAAAATAAAAAAAGTAAAAAAGAAACGAAACGAATTGCAAAAAAAAAAATGAAAAATCAAATAAATAAAATGAAAACAAAAGTATAGTATTTGCAAAAAAAAAAATGAAAAATCAAATAAATAAAATGAAAATGAAAGTATAGAAATGAAATAAAAAATATAAATTAATAAGAAAAGAAAAAAATAAATGAACGAAAAAAGTAAAAGAAAAAATTATAAAAAAAACAACGAAATGAAAGAAAAAAAAGTAAAAATAAAAAAATAAAAAAAAAACAAATGAAATACAAAATAAAATAAAAATAAAAAAAAAGGAAACTAAACGGAACTAAACAAAAAAGAAAAAAAAAAAATAAAAGTCCATGGGGGAATAAAAATAATAAAAAAAATATATATTAAAAAAAAGATTAAAAAAAATAAAACAAAATAAAAAGTCCGAGGAGAATTTAAAAAAAAATATAATTAAATATAAAATAAAGAAAAAAAAAGAAAAAAATCAATTAAAAAAATATATATACTGAAAAAAAATTAAAAAATATAAAAAATATATTTAAAGATAAAAAAAAAATAAAATAAAAAAAATGCGAAATTTGACATCGTACGGTACGATGTCAAATTTTAACAAAATTACTGATCTGCATAATTTACTGTACTGGTCTGGTGAATCGTACCGTACCAGTTTTCTATTTACCCCTAAAAAAATATCATATGCATCATTCTTAACATAAAAAGGAGGATATCCGCTTGATATCTCCCACAAAATTACACCAATACTGTAAACGTCGCTTTTTTCATTTAGTTTGAATGGTGATGATGTATTGTCATCTCTTCATCTGCTAAAAAATTTTGGGTCAACATAAGGAATTACTCCCAAAGGTTTTGACTGTTTAGTTGCTGTTTCAATTCTTTTCGATAATCTAATGTCTAGTTTAATAATGCCTTGATGAATTAACACATTGCCGGAATGTTATCAAATGCAAATAAAAAATAAGTTAATTATTAAACAGCAATATTTAGAAGATAATATAAGATATGTAAGATTACCAAATCATGATGCACAATTCCTTTTTCATGCAAACACAATACAGCACAAGCCAGCTGAAATGCCAAGTTGTATTTATCTCCCAAAGCAAGCTTATTAAAATTACATTTCAAATAGTCTTTAAGTGCATCGCTATCAGTATATTCCATTACAAACCAATATTTTTTTGATTGATTTTCTAATTTTTTTTTTTTAAAAAAAAATATATAAAATGAATTAAAATATAATGCAAAGGTTAATACATATCCGCATTATTTAAATTTTTATATCTTAGGTTGATGTAATTCCCAAAAAGCGGAAGATATTGCTGTGAAAATCAACTTCCTGCTGAAGTTCAAATTAAATTATTAAATGTAAATGTTAGCTTGATATACAAAGATTTTATATTGAATAGACTGAAATAAAACAAAATATAATTTTTTATTTTGTAATTACCTCTTGCACAAGTTTTTTTACAGTGGTATTGTTGAAGTTAAGAAATGATTTAAATATGAGAAATTGCTTTGAACTTTTCCAATTTGAACAATAGACTTTTCCAAAGTTGCCAGTACCAATTTCTTGAAAGTTGCTAAAATGTTTTGTATTTGTAGTATTTGATATTATTTTTTGAGTAAGATTCTTCAATCAACTCATTCAAATTGTTGGCAGCTTGCATGATGATTTATTAAGCTAAATGAACTAAAAATTCTTGAAAAAAAAGAAAAAAAAATGCATAAGGTAAATCATGCAGTGTTTATCAAATTTTAAGCCACTGGTAATTTCATTACACGAAAATTTTCCTTAAAAAAAAAATAACTTGAACTGATAATTTAAATTATTAATACTGATAAAATTTTGCATTCATTACGAATTATAAAGTATCAAAGTTGCTTAATAATATTATTTTTGAGTAAAGATTTAATCATATCATTTCCATAACTGAATCGAACGTAGCGTTAAGAAAATTAACAATGTAGTGCAATATGTAAATAACTATTTATTATAAGAAATTCCTGCTTTAGTCACTTGTATTGCCTTTTTTTAATTTTTTTCACAATAAAAAAGAGTGAGATTTATATGCAGCCATTATTTTTTTTTGCTATTAGCTAGCTTCGTTTAAAGTTTTTTAATTTTTTTTTATGTCTCTTTTTAATTAATTTAACTAAAAAATATTTGGCATTTCTCTTCTGTATCCCTTAGATGGGAAGCATAGTAAATGATTTTTTTTGTGAACTTTTTCTAGATTTTTCATCAAAGTAAAAAAAAGGTAAATTGAAATTTTCATGTTAAAATTGACATTATATA